TAACCACCATCATGATCAATGACATGCAACCATTTGCTTGGCAAAGCTGGATGCTATCCTCTCACAAAGAACGGAATTGATAATCAAAAAGTCGATTAAGCCCCCTTTGTTACGGATACGGTCACGCTGTACTTATCTGCGGAAGCCCTTTGCTGCCATCGCACAAGCGAGATTTTTCAAGTGATCGTAAGTGGAGATTAGTGTTGAGCCTACTATGAGAACAACACGAGCTACGCCTAGTGGCTGCCTTGTGGAGATACCCGCCAGCTCAACCAAAGCCCAAATTTAATGTTCAAAAAATTATGTCATCGTTTCTGAGATTGTCAGTTCATGTTATTTCAAAGACTGCCTGACAACGAGCAGACAATCAGTGTCAACGTTTACAGGGAAAGTTTCCAGATGATGGCCGCAGTAGCGCGGCAAAGCGTGCAAAACGTCGTCAGTGTTGCTCCGTTCTTCAGGATGACGCTCGACTTGATACTGCGTAGTCTACTTTCCCCTTTTCTGAACATACTACGATGGACCACGGTACCATATCGACCGTATAGCCCTGATGCTGCTCTCTCAGCTTATCATGCGCCTCGCGCCTTGATGCAGCATCTGCGGGAGAAAGAATTTGTAGACAACAACCAGCTCAGAAGGCTCAGAGATGACTTCATTGACTTCTTTAATTCTAGCCTCAATCTTTCTAAGGGAGAAGTATTCAGTCATTGCCCAGCAAATGGCTACATATCCCTGGTCATGACGATGACTGAACTGCTGATTAACTGTTTTTTTTCATATGAAAACAGTTGTCTTAATAAAGCTGTCGAGATGTAAAGACAATTAATACTTCCAGTCACTGTAATAGAAAATTCTGAAAGCTTAGGTAAATGTAAGAGCTGCAAAAACGTCTTTTACGCTGACGTCACTAACATGGAAGTGCTGGTAGTGGATCCGATATATTTATATAGATGAGCTAATGCAGAAGTTCGAAGTTGAAATTTGTTTCCAATCGAGTTAGTGAATGCCTTTTCAGAAGGTAGAGTGAGAACTCGATGGCAGCCCAATCAAAGATCTGTTTCCTAATGATTTCGGTGCTAATCAGATACCATCATGTCAAGTTATTAGAGATAAAATGTATATTAGTGTAAAGAAATGCATTCTTAAAGATACTGCAGTTGATTTTGACTAGATTGAATATATCCAAAATCTATGCGGAACTGAAGAGCTCACAGTGCCAAAGCTCTAGAAAATTTGTTAACCTGAGTAATATAGCTCTTTATTCTTCTCCACAGAAATACAATAACTACACGCAAAACATTAGAAGCTTTACTGTCTCCAACTTCAAATTGCCCGTCCCCATGCTTTACAGTGAAGTGGCCACTGTTCGAGCTGAGGCTGTTGGCATTGCAATAAGCAAGGACACAGCCAAGGCATTTGTTGAACGTATTGTAATGGAAACGGTGAGTTCGCCACACTTGCAGTTTTTTGATCAATTTTTTCGACATTGAAGTGAATTTCAATTCTCTGGTAAATCCGTCGTCTCACAGTATCGATGGCGCTTGAGCGGCTCATTGTGATTTTTTACTTCTAAAATTTTTAAAATGACTTTCCTGACTCGTGATAGTTCATTGTTCAGGTCTCTGATGTTCTGGAACAAGAAGGTTACACTGCTCTCCTTCCCGATGCAATAATCTCCGCCATTTTAGGTCAACTTAGAGTTCAGATCAATTATGATCATTAGTATGTAAGGGAGCCCATGTTAACAAAAATCTTAGTGGGGAGAGTGAGTTTTGAAATTTCAGCACCAACTATTGCGCGTCCAATTTTAACGCAGATTGGTTCTTCAAAAAACTATATTCTCTTTCATGCTAGCACGAAATAATGTCATATCAGATATGTGGAAAGCTTAGATGCGGCAAAAAGTGCCGTTGTTTGCACTAGCTGTGATGTCTGATCGTTGAAGGAAAGTGACTAGCAGTTTTCTGCACTATTTCGTCTATTTATTATCACACTTTTACTTCTACTTTTACTTCAATCCTTTTCCACTCGCCGCCGTGTCAATCATCTTGTGTAAAACTGCGCAATTCGAAAGAAAACACTTATATTCATTCCCAACACTGTTTTGTAGAGGTTATGACAAGACAAGGTCCTTGTGAACGTATAAAGCGGCGACAATAGTTTAAGGCTGACAGTTTTCGGGCCGAGATGAGGGTGTCACAGAGAAAGTGAAAACTAAATCTTTTATTTTCGATCTTTTTCTACATAATGATAAGGTTAATCGGAATCTTGTCCCAAGCACTTTTGTAAAATGCACAAATAATATATTTCTTCTTCCAATAAGCAACCCAAGAGTTACTTGCACTTTGCACTTCTGAGATCTGTCATCACAGTGTTTTTTCATTCTGCGAATCCCAGTACTTCTAGTCCTTTCAACTCGTTTATCGTCTTCTTCCTAAACGTCGTAGAATACTGGTTCAGCACGTCCGATTGCAGTCGCATAGCCTGCTGTGGCTTTCCATGTGGGTGTTCATGTCGCGTTCGTTGTTGACCGTCGGAAAGTGCTGGAGGGCGAGGTTTTGCCCACGCGCGCTAAGGCGAGCATCACAACCACTTGGCCACGGCTTATCCCTGGTGAGTTATACCCGGGCCTAGTAGCGAACCGTAAGACCTTTGATTACACAGTTCTTGCAGTAATCTCACAATCGTTGTGGATGTCAGAAATTTCATCCCTTCTGATCTCAGAAAATAGTAAGGAACCTTGAAGAAAAAGATTACTGATGGAGTTATTATCACAGCGAATGCACCCGATATTTTGAGTGGTTTTATTGTGAAGTAAAACGAATACAAAAACACAAAAGTCACTGGCGAAGAATTTTCTTGCTATACTTTCTGAGATAAACAGTTCATAATGTAAAGCTACTTTTAGTCAAGGGAGTGATGATGCATGATTCCAAACTGTGTCATTGTCGGCAACACGGTAACCGCCACATGCCCTGGAAGAACTGCCAGGAGGGAGTGGGTGGAGTGAAAGAAGTTAGCCGTATGCTAGGCATGGCGGGCAATTATGTCCAGACCATTTCTGCCAATTACACGACAATCGAGGAACTCTTATGATTTTTCAGTGTTTGCTATAGTTGTAATAATTCATTTTAAAAAAACTTTTTTAGACCACAAACGCCATCATGGCAAAATTGGTCGAAGATGTGCAGAATGTACTCAAGAGAGCGATTTGAATGTTGGCAGCTGTTGCGTTTGCACCACACTTCTCATCGGCTACTGGAACTGTGAATTAGAACACATGTTGCACTTTGAGGTGTCCTCAATAAACGACATATTCATGTGTTTCTTCCTTCCTTGACTCTGCAGAGGTTTTGAAATAACGGGGCACGAATTAATGGATTCATATCATTGATCAAAGTTGAGTTTATAATGAGTCAAATTTATGAACTTTACTAAAGGAATAGAAACTACACATTAATTAAGAAAAACTATCTTTTGATCAATGGAATTGATAGTCTTACTCAGATGAGATTTGGTCAGAAATTCACCACACTGGCTGACCACAGTATTGCACTGGAAGAAGGAAAATTCGCCAAGAAATTGTTTGATGTTTAGAAAAATCAACCAAAACGACATCACTCTACCTATGCAGCCGCCCTAACACTCGGGTATTTCTTATAACATTCTCACTATTTTACATCACCGAATGTGCTTTCAATTTATTATTGCGGAGTAGAAATATTTCACGTTTAAGTTTGAAGAACATTGCTAGCGCAATGTAAGCAAAGAGTAATCTTTGAATTTTCACCTACTAGTACAGTGTCAATATAGAGACGAAAACGCTTCCGAAACAAGTTTTCATTCCTTTTCTCTGAAACACATGAGTAACAGGCTTTTCCACGTAGTCGCCATACCTTAGTAATTGTGATGAGAGATTAATAACATGGCAGATAAGAAACCAATGTATGTCCATCACTTGTGCTATTCTCAAGTGCTGAACAGAAAAAGTCTTGATTTTTATCTATTCTACTGATTCAATTTGCAACTCATGGGTACATTTGCAAGAAAGCTGAGTGCAAACGAATTCAATAATCTCTGCTAAATTGAACCACTCAGAAGTTAGTATGATTGCGAAAACATTTTCGTGAACATTATCATATAGCATTTTACAAACCAAGTTATTATTTTTAGGTGAAAGGTACGATGTGAGTATAATCAGAAAGATATTGAGATATGAAGAAAACTTGAGCCCTAATATTTTTGTGTCACAAACCCTAAATGAATTGGAGCCGTATCTCGGCAGTCGTGTGATTAAACATTATGATTTACTTTGGCACACATGATTTCCTATCAAACATTATTGTAAAATGATAGGACTTCTGCTCTTGTGCTTCGCATGTATAGACGGTGAAAAAATCCCGTGTAGAATCCGGGAGTTCTGAAGTGTCAAAATTGCATCATTTTGTGTTTTTAAGTATATGATTGAGCTCTGTATGAATCGTGCCGTTGGTGAACTCCCATGTCCATTGAATTTTTCCCTATTCTCATATAAGTCACCATAGGAGAGACGCGCCACGGACAGAAGTCCAAACGGTCTCCCAGTCTAGGGAAGTAACTGTTGATTTTTTCCTTACCACGTCACATGCAGCGTTGTTCTTTGCAATTTTCTTCATCAAAGGGTTCATAAATAAGTCGCATGTAGCGTTGTCACTGTCTTTGATGAGCAACGTAGATTGTCTATTCACCATCTCAGTTAGGAGTAGAACTGCAAAAAGCTGGTAGTGGTGTAATTCTTAATTTGGTATGAATGAATTTGTAACATGCCTAGTAGAGATAGCCATTTGAATGCCAAGCATTCTTTAAAGGGATTCCAAACGCTTACATAAATACTCGTTATAAACTAGCTAACCAGGGAGTTCCTTTTGGATTAACTCGCATTCGCCTTATAGTACGGCACCGTATTGAAAGTGTAAAGTGAATAAGAACAATAATTTAGAGTGGTGAGCAAAAATATTTGTGTCAGCCGGGATTCGAACCCAGATCTCACTCTTTCCACGAACATGTGCTGAACCGTTGCACCACCAACGCCTTAGGAAAGAGTGGATTCTGGGTTCGAATCCCGGCTGGTGCAAATGGTTTTGCGCACCACTCCACATCATTATAAAACATTATCACATTATGAAACAACATAACACCGCTTAAGCGGTCAAGTAAAATATATTCTTTAAAGTGAATCTTTGGCGAAATTGTTCAACGCTAAGCAATTCAACTAATGCGATAGGAACTGCTACGATAAAGCACTGTTTGCACAGTTTGTTCATCGCTTGTAAAAATTTGCTATACAAAAATATGTCATCGCTCAGTATGATTTACAGTGAAGTATAGCATTGAATTATTTGTTTCAAGAAGTTCTAAAGCCGTTTTGAGCATTGACAATGTCGGAATGCCTGCATATGAGGCTCGGTTTTGAATAAATTACTGACCAACATTGAAGTTTCTTTCCCAGATCTATACCACTTCAATAACAAACATAAATTTCACCTAATGATGTAGAGTGATGTGCAAAACTACCGCGTCAGTTGGGGCTCAAACACACATTTCATTCTACCTGGGAGCGCGTTGCTCTAACCCGTTACACTACTGACGCCCATTTCGCCACACCAACTCCATGCTGCAGAGCATCTATCTGTCAGCCGCCAACCGTCAACGGCCTGGCCCGGGTAGTCGGTATCGACATTAAACCCACTCACGCTGACAAAATATCGGGTATATAAGACCAAAATGATGTGCAAAATGGGCATCAGTAGTGCAACGGATTATAGCACTCGCTTCTAGAGTGAGATGTGGATTCGCGGTTACTTAAAGAGCAATTCCATCAGCAATAATTGTCGATTTTTTTCCTACCACTCACGAAAGTATTTACAGCTAAAATTTTCTTTGATAAAAGAGCGTAGAATAGGAGCTTTATGTATTGCTATTTCTGCGTCTGGTACGCAACGATAGCTCAGTCAAGTGTTGAGCACTTCACTAAACAACGAGGTTGTCCGGCAATGCTGGATCACACGTTGTGTGAGGGCATATAGCAGTCACCGTGCTGCCATCAGTGGTGCAGTGTGGTAGTTTATCCATTGAATCGACCGCAAGTATCTGCTTTTCAATCATTTGTACCCGTTAAAAGCTAGAAAAACACAGCAATTAATTTTTTGGTCTAATTTCTGCTTTCTCACTTGCTACTAATATACACTGAAATTAGATAAGCTTATGAAACGCACAGAATAAAAAGTCATATCATATTGTTATTGAGCGACATCTCAGGAATAATCGATTGAAAGGTATTGTTACGTATTCTCTGTGACAATCTTAACCCATGCAATCGGCAATCATTCACTCTAAACACCACCGTGATTCGTTCACCGTACGTTGAGTATAAGACGTTAGTCGTTCGACTCCTTTATATGGGGGATAGATTTCCGAGGAGCTGATTGAATGGAAAGCCACCGTGCAACTGACAAGGCTGTAAAGCCGAAACACGTGTCTTGCATTGACGATGTGCCTATAACAGATTTTATGAATGGCTCAAAAGACATTGTAAGATTTTAAATGAGCTCACTCCATTGAAACTGCGTGCATTTTTTAAGCATGGATCAGAATTTTAGTCAACAGGTTCTTTCTTTCACTTTTGTGTTTTATTGCCTGAATGAATGCATAAAAAGTTTTTTTCACTCTACAGTATCTTAGAAATCATTTTAAGGAAAATGCACACAATAGTGTAATATGGTGTGCAGAAAGATTTGCGTCAGCCGGGATTCAAACCCAAATCTCACTCTTTCCGGGAGCATGTGCTGAACCGTTGCACCACCGGCGCATATTCTGGAACATCCCGGCTGACGCAAAGGGAGCGTCGGTGGTGCAACGGTCGGCATACGCTTCGGGAGAGAGTGAGATTTGGGTTTGAATCCCGGGCTGACGCAAATTTTTTTTTGCACACCACTCTACACTATTATACTTTAACATCATGACACCGCAGGTGGCGGGTGAAATAAAAAGAAATCTGATTGAATATGCAGACAGCTTGGAATAAACTAGTCAGTAGCCTTACGATATACTTGTTTTATTCCGAAAACTTCAACTGCCTCTAAAGCTTACGATTCGGTTGGCTACGAAGCACTTACATTGTCATTACCCTAGAAAAAAGTGGTGCCAAACACAGATGTTTGCTTTTTATTTACGTAGTCTGAATAGAAAGAATGAATGACACGACGGCCGGTGATCAGACGATTATCTTATACATTTGTTTAGACTCTAGTAGCTCCGTCTTTTCAGGATCCTCCATCACAAATAGTGCAAAATCACAGCATTTTCTATGATGGTTTTCTATCTTTTTCTATAGGCGGTTCTTCTTCTGATGTTTTGCACAATCTGCAAGAATGAGTGCGCTACAACTTATCATGGTTTTACAATAGTTTTGAGGCTGTTGTAGAAACTGTGTATTCTGATTCTAGCGTTTTACGGTACGCTGATTGCATTGCTATGATTCGAGACTTCCACATGGATTCAGAATTATAGATCGTTCGTGCATACTATTACAAGCGAAGGGACAAGAAGCCTAAAGAATTTCCTTTTACTCAAAAGAAGATTAGAATAAAAAAAATATGACGGTCCGCAATTCTTGATGCTCTGTGTTTGATAGAAAAAAGCACCGTTTCATAACCTATTGAGAAAAGGTTGATGTCTAGGTAGTACACTACTAAACACTTTCTCGTAAAAGAGTGCGCATCATATATAGAGGCAGCGGCACTTTCTGCCCAGGCAACGTCATTTTCACATTTCTAACATGAGACGAATTCCGCAATGGTAAGGAAGGGTATGTTTCTAGATGTTCTTGTGCGGCAAAAGTGTACTCTTATAAACTGATCCAAAAGTTGAAAACTTATAACAGTTGCTCTTTGCATTCCAAGGGATCATAATTTATCTATACGTCGAATTGACCTGAAATGCCAGAGATCATTGCATGGGACAGGAGAGCGCTACGAGTTCGCCGTTTGGGCAAAGACCTAAACAGCAATATTTTAGAGAAGTTAAAAGTGTTTTTGAGGTGTTTTTAAGTTAGACCTTATAATACGGTGCGACTTATTTTGGTATTCGCCATTAGCGTTATTGTCAGAAAATGGGTGTGTTTGCCTTCTAAACCTTTCCATATTTTGAAGAAAAAGTGGAGTTATAGAGCTGTGAACTTACCGTTTACATTACAAAACGTTCAACAAACGCATTAGCTGCGTACTTCTTCGGTGCAATTCCAAAATCCTCGGTTTTAACAGTGGTCTTTCTACTGTAAATCATGGAAAGAGGCAATCCTAAGCACGGTAACAGTGAAGGCTCTAGTGTTCGCTGGAACAAAAACTTCTTAGTATTTGTAGATTAGTGTAAAATCGTGTTTATCCTGGCCAATATCAATTTTCGGGGTCTCTTTGCTTCCTTACTATCTAAGACTTAGAGCCCTTTCCAACGAAGTTTTGGAATTCCCTCCCAACAAGTGGGTGAATGTTGTACACTTGGATAGACATAAGATTCCACATTTGCATCAGATCGTTTATATAATAATAACGGATTGAGTGGTCAGCACTCCCATGTCAGTCACATCAGCATGGTAGACGTTATTACAAGTCCTTGCTTTACTAGGAGTTTTGAGATTTCCAACGTATTGACTCAAGTGAAATCTTTCAAAGTGACTTCTCTGACATTTTATACTAATCGGAAACAAGTAGAGGTTAGTGTGATATGGATAATGTTTTATCAACTATTTGATGAGAATTTTTTTAGTGAAGGCGATCAAAAGCAAATGAACGTTTTACTTAATGTACCATTTTCTCAAGCCAGCTTAAAATAAGTTTACCCTTTCCACATTTATTGACATGACATTAAAACCGTTTTCTTTGAAAATACAAGTTTGCACTCACAAAACGACGCCAGTGTAAGTGCATTCGTATAAGAAATCCGTAGAAAAAATATCGTTTGATTAAGCAAATGGAAAACTTTCGGTGCACATATTTCTTGTATCGCATTTTATTAAGCCGAAACCGTAGTCGTTGAGTTTTGATATTCCTATTAAGCCTTCAGGCCCGCGCATTCCAGGAAAGGTATCGAGCCTTCTTGTGGTTTCCTCGTCGTGAAGGAGAGGTTTCCGTAGCCGTTGCCAATGTTTCGCAATTTTCACCGCTGTGCACACAATGTAGGATTTCTTGTTGTCAGTTTGTGTGATAGATCTCGTTCACCTAACTTTTTCAAGCTTTTCTTTAACTTACTTCCTCGAGTAATAAGATAATGAGGCAATGTGATTGATTAATGAGCTTTTCATGAGGTTTTATGGACACTTATGCAGTGCAATACACGTACTTGGGAATTCCAACATCTTCGGCTGGACTTTGCCTTTAGTCTGAGCCAATCTCTTTTGAGGAAGGACATTCTTACATAAAGAACTCATTTCACACTTGGCAGAGACATCCCATCACTGCGTCTCCAAAAATTTGATCATCAGACATTGCAGTGCTTAACAGTCGATTACTTATAGTGTCTTAAGCGACGTCTGAAGAAACAGTCAAATATGAAGACAATAATTGTGAAAAGTTTTCAAAGATTTGCTTTCTATATGTAGGTAGTCAAACTTGATTCAGCATCTTAAGTTTCTGGGCGTTTGAAGTTTTTTTATCATACGATCGCCTCTTGTCGAATCTCAAGGCAAGCAGGATTTGCGCAGAATTGCATCCAATAAAAATTCAACATTTTTGGTCGTCTTTACCAGGAGAACTCATTTATTCGTTCACAGAACTGCTGTACAGCCTACACTCCTTTCGAAATGAAAATTCTTTTGGAAAAATGTTCGCCTTCATGTGAGTCCTAGAGTAATTGAGAGAGCGGATAAAGCCGAATTCTCATAAAGAAAAAAATAGATCATGTCATGTGTGTCTTGGCCGACGAACTGAAATCAATATCAGCGCTGAGGAATCATTGACCCTGCTATAAATTTTCACGAGCGCTGAGCAAGCACTTGTTGTTTGAGCACTTCAACGTTGCAAGCTGTTCCATGTCAT